GGACTGGGGAGGTGAATGCAAAAGACCAAGCTCTGCTAACTTAGCTTCGTTTCTGGCTATGCATGTAGCACGCTCTTCCTCAAGGTCCATCAAAGATCGTAATGATATCGCAATATTGCCTATATGAATGACGAATGTAAGCAGGATGTAGTCATTTTGGACTGATGTATGAAGATGTGTACGGCGTGATTGCAAGCGACCTGTACCAATGAGGCAAACCGTTCATGGATTNTGAGGTGTAATTTATTACAGAAAAGGTTGCCGCATTTGCAAGACTTAGGCATTGTGTGAATGTGGACGGGTCCTGCAGGCCAAGACCCCGAGTGCCTATGCCCCGGAGGGGAAGTTGGCTAACGAATTACTGCGAGGCCAGGAACACCAATTGAGTTAACTATTGCTTGTCTTTATAGCTTAAATTCTGCGCAAAGCGCACATACTCTGGTAGAAGGTAACTGCGACGGCCGGACAGAGGTTACGCAATTTCATAAAGCCAACCGAACGGGCTACAGAGACTTTATAGCTAAACAAAGTTATTGCTTTAACTAGTATAGCAAACAGCTTCACGCGCGGGCACTCTGACGTCGACATGGCCGATGATGATGACAGGACTTCTAGCTTTGTACCCATCCAAATGCACCGAAAGCATAGGATTGTTCTGAAATATAGGGTAGGCAAGGCATTGCATGGTCGACTTAAAGGGAGCGCATGTTGCCCCGGCTGCGCTTTATGGGCCTCCAGGAGCCCCAAAACGGTTTGTCTAGGGTCGATACATTGCAGATAGATCATAGGTGCTGGGCTGTCGGTCATAGGTGCACAGCAGCTGGATGGCTTTCAGACTGCCGGTCATGGGAACCCGGGAGGCGTGCTGTTGGTGCAGGGCAAACCAGGGGCTGTCGGGTGACCGGCGGAGATGGATGGGCCACCCCACCTCACCCATGTGTTGTGCACAACATCCAAACAATTATAAAAACCGCATACGACACAACACCTGCCACTGCCCATCCGGGATTCTGGGGGTGCCTCTCCCTAAGTTAAATAC